TAAAACTGTAATGGGTGTGTGGGGGGGCGGTAAGAGATAGAAAAAGCAAGACAGCTCAAAAGAAAATGTGAAGATGATTCCACATATCAACAACTATCACTGTCACTGTCCTCCCGTTGTTCATCGATTTGTTCGAGCGGGCCCAGTAATGTCTCCATTGGAGACTTTGTTGTTACTGTATTTGGCATATTGAATACACCACGGGGAGCTTGCCAGGCTCTGCCGTGCGGGCAAGATACTTTTGGTAGCTTGCCGGGCTGTCCGAGAGGGGCGGAGGAATCGAACTCGGGTCGGCCATGTTGGCTGTGTGCAAGGCAAATGCCCTACCGCTGTGCTATTGCTCCAGCCCATAAAAAACTATAGTTATAATAAAGTGTTAAATAGCCTAAATTTAAAATAAACATCAGGCACACTGATTACCATAATTGACCTTCACCAGGACCTGAGATGTGTTCTTTTGGCATTCCCTTCTGGAAAAGCCCGTGTTGTCTTTTGCATGCTCTCACCCAACCCCAAACATCTTTTGCTAAGAAAATTTCTCTAAATAGAACTATTTTACTTCACTGATAGTCATTGTATTAAAGCAATATTGTAGGGGGTATGGTGCTGCCAGCAGGTCAGTCTGTACCTGTGAGGCGAGTGCATCAGCAGCCTCATGGTGTCTTCAGACTTCCAAATACCCCAAAATTTCTGCTGTGCCTTTGGCCAGACCCCAAAAACTTGGGGCAAAGTTTACCAAGAAAGTAAACAGCCAAAAGTTAGGTATGTGGGAGACATACCCACAAACCACCTCCGGCTCAGCTATATAATTGGAAGTATGGCCTCTCTGGTTCTTGATCAAACTGCTTAACAGCCATGATCCCAAAGACTCAGAAGCAAATCTTGAAACCCAACGGCTTTTGGCAGAAATGCGTCCAGTCCCTGCAGTACGTTACCAGCGCTGGGCCACCCAAGTTGGGAATAGGCTTCGTGCCTTGGCCTGTTCCCCCTGGTAGCCCGGTGGCCACCATCCTCCAGAAGCCACTGGACAGTCAGGTTTGGGCCCTCAGTGACGAGACACACAGGGACTCACGGGATGGGGGTGGAGCGGGCCCTTTCCTCCCCATCCCAACGAGACTCTGAATCGCTGCCCACAAATGGCCTCTCTGGCTCCTGATCAAGCTACTTAATGGCCATGATCCCAGAGATTCAGAAACAAATCTCGAAATCCAGCGGCTTTTGGCAGAAATGCATCCGGATTGCGCAGTAGGTTACTCTTCCCGGGCCACTCCAGGGGGGAAAGGGTGCTGTCCCTCCACCTGCTTTCCCTAGGCGGCTTGGTGGCCGCCATCTTCCAGAGGCCATTGGACAGTCAGCTTTGGTTCTGCAGTGATGAGACACGTGGGGCCTTACGGGATGGGGGTGGAGCTGACCCTTTTCTTCCCATCCCAAGAAGACCCCGAGTTGCCTCCCACAAACGGCCTCTCTGGCTCCTGATCAAGCTACTTAACGGCCATGATCCCAGAGACTCAGGAACAAATCTTGGAACCCAGCAGGTTTTGGCAAGAAATCCCTCCAGATTTAATTGTTAAAATTTCGGAATTTCAAAATCTCGTGGCCACTACTGCAGCCACGGGATATCATATGTTATTCATAACCAGCAATAGAAAACAAATTGTCTACTGTTGCCTTTTGGGCAGTTCTGAGTGTTGGGGTAAAATCCCAAATAATAATGGTGGGTCTGATGTCAAAATATTGTATGTAATCAAAGTAGAGGGAGTGTAATTTGGAAATCCTCTGCCCCACAGGTAGGGGGAGGGTGTGAGATGGGGGTATACTGGAGTTTTTGGTAGTGGAGTGGAACTGGTGAAGGTATGGGTGTTTCATTGTGTGACCGAGACTTAAACCCAAAAGCTTTGCAACTGCTCTCACGGTGATTCAATAAATAAAATTATTAAAAATGGGGAAAAAATAAAGCAATATTGTATTAAAGCAAAACAAAAATACTGTATTTTGGTTTTTGTTTATTTGGAAGCCACACTGAGTGGTATGGTACTCAGGGCTGACTCCTAGCTCTATACTTAGGGATCACACCTGGGCGGGCTTGGGGGGACTATATAAGATGCCAGGGATTGAACCCAGGTACACCACATGCAAGGCAAGCACCCTCCCTGCTGTACTGTCTCTCTGGCCCCAATCAGATAATTTTTATGTCCTAAAGAACCTAAAATAAATAATATTAGTTGGTCTAACAAACAAGCCCTAAAGAGCACTACAGTTCTATACAACAGTATTTAGTTCTTGCTCCTGTCACAATTCACAAAGTCAGGCTCCTGTTCTGACTACAGCTCTTTCTCTCTAGAATCTTTCAATTACAGCTCTTCCATCTTGGAGTTCATTGCCTAGAGTTACAACAAGGAAGTGAGAATATCAAAGACCATGTACAAATGCAGAGGTCGAGACCAGATGTGGAATATTTTACGTTTGTCCACATTTCTCAGGTGACCCCAATGTAACTAAAAAAAAGCTGGAAAATGTAATCCTGTATTCTCAGGAAGATGAGATGGAATTATTGAGCATTAGCTAGTTTTTGACACACAAAAAGCTTAGAAATATGAATAGACAGAAAAGGATATTCCAAGCAGACATTAACCAGCAGAAAGCAAGAGAAGCTGTTTAAGATGAAATGTGTTATTGGCAACTACATAAAGAGAAATGATTTAACTGACCACGAAGAGATACCAATTCTGAAATTATACATACACTTAATGAATATCCACAAATAATATAAAGCAAAAGTGGAAAGAATTATGAGAAACTGACAAGTTCATCATAGTATGGAATATATTGTTCCAGTCAATAATATCGCACAGAATAATAATAAAATAGAATATAAAAAACCTAAGTGCAACTAGCCAGCATGATCATAAGGACATACCAGTTACAGAGCATGCACATTTTTAAGAGTGCAAGAAACATTTGTGAAAACTTGACTACAAAGCCAGGCTCAACAACTTTCTCTGTATCAGTATGATGCGAGTCATGTTCTCTGATTACAGTAGAATTAGATGAAAGATAAATGACAGGAAAAAATGCTTTATGCAAAGGTATTCACTCTGGTATTAACTACAGTAGTGAAAAATTAGAATTGAAATAATCAATGACCTGGGTATGGTTCAGTAAATTATGCCTCAGCAACCCAATGTGTTATCAGGTAGCCATCAAAAATTATTTTTAAATGAACTATGTTGAAGATATAATATTACATGAAAGTTTTAAGTATTTTACATATGATTACAAGCATGTGAAAATGTGTGCCTTTTGGCAAATATTAGCAAATGAAACAGCTGTTATAGTATGATAATGATTTCATTTTATTTTTCTTAAAATTTTTTCTATGATGTAGTTACATTGTTTCTTGCATGTTAATCAATGAAAGGACATGATCTTTGTCTGGCAGCTAAAGTTAGGTACCTTAATATTCATTATTCCTTTATTCTATAGCAATAGAATTTTAGTTGGTTATATAGCAAGACTACACTCTCCAGCCTCCCTGTATCTAGGCATCATGATGGGATGAAACCATAGCTGATGAAATATGAGAAGAGTGTTCTTTAATGTACTTTCTCTTCCCTTTGTTTTTCTTCTTCTCCTTCCTCCCTGAAATCATCCTTAGCTGTTATCGCACACGCAAGGGATAGAGATGAACCCAGTATGCATTTGATTGCATAAGGGACTGCTTCCCAATGTAATGAATGAAAATATGTATAGCTCATGAGGATGAATACATGCTTTTCTGTTCAAACAATATCCAGAAGAAGCTCTGAAAACAGGAGGATTATCTGTCCTATTTTTGGAAATCAAATGAGGATGTATTAACATCAAAGAGTGAATGTTTGTATAATCGAGTGCAAATAATACACATTTACTGCAATATTCTTTATCACTTAAAAGAATGCTTTAGCAGAGATGAGATCCATTTATAAACTGCTTTGTCTGAGCTAAATCAGCAAGTAACCTCCAAATCTGAAATGTCAAATAAAATCAAAATTGCATTTTAAATAGCATGCTTTGTTTAATTATCACAGCCCCTGATAAAGCTTGATATAATCCAATGGCCTGGATTACAATAAAAAATATGTACCATATCAGGAATTAGAATTTACCAATTCAATAAGAAAATTGATAAATACAGCTTAAAAACAGTCCTTATAGTAGAAAAATTACCAATGTACATTAAAATAGATGCAACACTCTGCTTCAAGTGCTTATAATGTGCAGTAATGACTAGGTATGCTATATAATGCTTACGATAGCAACCAATTAATTTAATTTTAATTCAGACTAGGTCAGTCACAAGCTGTTCTGCAAACCAACATGTGCTTTAAATAAAAGGATATGGAGGCTAACTTAAGAACAGTCGTTTATTCCATAAATTCTAATACTTATGCTAAACATTTCTGTTCAGATAGTTTTTTTTTCTTTTTGGTATTGTGCTCATACCTGGCGGTGCTCAGGGCTTGCTCCTAGCTCTCTGCTCAGAGATTATTCCTGGTGGTGTTCAAAAGGGACTATGTGAGTGCCAGGGATCAAAATGAGGTTGGCTGCTTGCAAGGCACATACCTTAAAGTCTCAGGAAATAATTTATTCATCACTGCTTGAATAGAATTGTATAAGGCTAATTTGAAAGTATCTACTTGTAATATACAGTTTAAAATTTTGTCAGTAAAGGGCTGGAGTGATAGCATAGCAGGTAGGGCATTTGCCTTGCATGCGGCCACCCCAGGTTTGATTCCCAGAATGGGAATATATGGGATATATATGGGATATATGGTCCCCCGAGCACCACCAGGAGTAAATCGTGAGTGCATGAGCCAGGAGTAACCCCTGTGCAACGCCGGGTGTGACCCAAAAAGGAAAAAAAAATTTGTCAGTAAAAATTGATTGCACCTATGTGATACAAATAGTGCTAAGAAAAAAATGACACCACACATTTTTTGGATTGAGTTGTTTTAAGAAGTTGCCTTACAGTTTTCTAGTTCTTAACATGCATGTTCATTTGCAAATAGATTAGAAAACAGTGGAGTTTTCTTATGATTGAAGATTCCTTAATCGTTTAGTGGCATTTAAAGTTTTACTACTGAGCAATTTTTCGCACCAGTCAAGTAATTCCTTTTTATCCTTTTTAAAGTCCTCACTAGTATATATGGGATCTGTTGTAATTTCATTAGTTTTCACAAGGTCAAACGATGAATCTAAAAGGATGATTTGTTTCAAACTTGGTTTCTCTCCCAGTTGTATTTTCTAGGTAGAAACATAAATAAAGGCAGAATATGAATATTTGGTATTTTTAATACTCTTTTGTATTTATATATGACTGCTTTAATATTAGCCTCATTCAAAAAATTAATGGTAGCTTTTTTAATCACAAAGAAATCTATGAAAACACGTTCATTGTAAATATCACTATCGAGTGGGAGTATACTGGGGCACAATTGAAACTTTTGATAGAGTCTGACAAAACTGACTTCCGTTTTGAGAAAAGCCCCATTTGCAATGCGCTGAATCAGCTATACAACATGTAGGTTCCCTTTCCACGTCGTGCGGATAGGGAGCCAAAACATCTGGCTGGTCTTTATCAGAATAGTTTCCCATATTGTTTATATAAGTTTGAAAATATAGATTACTGAGAGGGATGTAGTTTTTAAATTAAAAAAAGACTGTCAGGCACCCTGATTTACAATATTACATCCGAACACCATCCCCTCCACCAGATTGTCCCATCCCAACCTATCCCAGCCCCGACTTCTGAGGTGTATACTCTCCAAGTTATACACCAAAGGTGTTTCATCCGAGAGCTTGTAGATTAGGAAAATTTTACAAAGAGAAGTAGAATTAATTACGTACTGTCCCAAACAATGAATTCAGCACAAGTGAAACTTACCATACTTTTCTTTACAGGAGCCATACAAGGTTTTTTCACATTTTTAGCTTCCTTTTGCGCATGCTTAGATTTATAAACCATGTATTTAATTTCATCGGCTACTTGTTTTGCAGGCAGTTGTATAAGAGCTGTTGGTTCAGTCACCCTAAAAATGTATTAAATAAGATTTTAAAAATAGCACAAAATAGACTTAAATGTAAAGCAAGTTCCAATTTTTTTCTTTTTGGTTCACACGCGGTTATGTACAGGGGTTACTCCTGGCTCATACACTCAGGAATTACTCCTGGCGGTGCTCAGGGGACCATATGGGATGCTGGGAATTGAACCCGGGTCGGCCACGTGCAAGACAAACACCCTACCAGCTGTGCTATCACTCCAGCCCCGCAAGTTCCAAATTTTGTCCAAGTATCTTCTAGGAAATATATAATTTCCCTTAGTACTTTGGGAAATATCGCATATAAGAAATTTTTAGTCAAAGCTATCATCTCTGCTTGAGTTCACAGCATACTTCCCTATCTGCGACTTAAGAAGGGGACATTTATATATCTATATTTTACATATTTATAAATTTTGCATTGCTCGAGCGGGGCCCAGTAACGTCTCCATTGGAGACTTTGTTGTTACTGTGTCTGGCATATCGAATACTCTCGGTAGCTTGCCAGGCTCTCCGAGAGGGGCGGAGGAATTGAACTCGGGTCGGCCATGTTGGCCGCTTGTAAGGCGAACGCCCTACCCGCTGTGCTATCGCTCCAGCCCAAATTTTGCATAATAGATGACATATTAGATTTTGTTTATATTATGTTTGTATTTATACCATAATATAAACATAATATATCGTAAGTTTTAAGATGATTCTGAGGGTGATGATAAAAATGATAAAACCTGGAATCTATTTAAAATTAGTTGTCCTGTAAAATATTAAACATTTTAATACTATTACTCACATAAGTATTACATTTCATTTGACTGGACTAAACCCTTTTTAAAGTAGTACTGGGCTCAGGTACGGTTGGTACCAAGTCTACTGTCCCTTTGGTTTTACCACTGCAGGGCACATAGTTCAACTTCCAATTGCCAGAACTGACTTCACCCTGAGAGTTTTCTTTAAAAACAAGAGTTCACGTGCAGGGAAAGTGCCCAAGATTTAGTATCTCCCATCCTAAGCAACCTATTAACCAATAACTGAGGAGTGTTGGTATATAAATATCCCAGTTCCCTTTTCCTCTGCAGGATAACTGAGTAACACTGTTTTGGCTGCTTGCCCTTCCGTCTTTCACTTCCCTGTAGCACTGTAGCACTGTCCTCCCCTTGTTCATTGATTTGCTCAAGTGAGCACCAGTAACATCTCCATTGTGAGACTTGTTGTTACTGTGTTTGGCATATTGAATATGCCAGGGGAGCTTGCCAGATTCTGCCGTGCAAGCGGGATACTCTTGGTAGCTTGCCGGGCTCTCCGAGAGGGATGGAGGAATTGAACTCGGGTGAGCTGCGTGCAAGGCAAATGCCCTACCCACTGTACTATCGCTCCAGCCCCTTCATTACCCACTCTTTAAAAAAATTTTTTATTAGTGAAACAATCATTACCCACTCTTATCATCGGTTCCTAGGATCACCTACTGAATAAATATGCATACTCAAACCATTCTCTCAGGCTTTATTTCTGGGAGATCCAAAACTAAGACTACATTAAACGGTCTTTAAGAAATGTTTTTACCTCTTGAACTGATTTATAATGTGGCTACTTATTTGGTGCTTTAAGTGATGCATTCTTGGATAATCATTAGCATGAATCCATAGAGTTGGGAGCCTAAGGGTTATAGACGGTGGCAGGGAAAATTACATCATTTATTTGCCCTTGGTGGTAATAGGGCTAAGTTCTATATTCAGTGCTTATATGGATGCGTTACAGAAAATCTATTTCATGATGACAAACTGTGCCCTACACCAGACCATCTGTCTTCTGGCGAATATATAGCCTTGATCATAAAGTAAACAAGATAAATGGTATTATTGGGTCATCATCGCTCATCTGTACTATTTAAAAGCTCCGGCAGGTTTGTGACAGAGAGCTACCAATGTTTTCTATCTGTACTAAAGGAGAATTTTTCATTTCAAATATGACTTGTGAAAACAGGATACCTAGGTCCTCTTTAGTCTCGTTATCTTTCTTTCCAAGAAAGCAAGCTTCATTTGCAAATAAAATGGCTGAGGTGAGCCGAGGAAGGGAAGCAAAGGGACTCTAATTGGAGCAGTCACATTCTGTCCATGTTTCAGTTCACAATATAGTTCGTGTCGCTACCACATGCATTTCTAAAATGTGACTGAGTCACGTGCTACCGGTAAAGAAGGGAATAGTGCCACTGTAATTTATATGCAATTTCTCCTTGGCAAGGAGAGCCAGAGTAACAAGAACAGAATGATAACTTTCAGCAGAGAAGGACACCTTCAGCGGTGTAAGGCCAAGGCAACGACAGGAGCCTCTTTGGCTTTTTTTTTTTTTTATGAAACCAATTTAGGAAAACAAAACTTTTTTCCCAAAGAGGCACCCTTATGCCACAGTCGACCTTTCCTGCCCTTCCTTCTTGCTGCCTTGGGTGGTTCTTGGTTCTTGGGAGCTTGCACCCCTCATGTGTGGGTTTGACAGACAACCACACTGTCTGGGAACTCCACTCCCCTCGGCACTGACTGGCGCCCACTATCTGCTCTAATTAGAGAGTCGCCAGCATTTCCACTCCATTGTTAAGCGTTTGTTCTATTTGCTGGCCTCTAGGCATCCCGAGCTCCCTATCTGGCTGTACAAGTTAGATCTCCAGGTACCAATTGTCCTTTTTGCTAGTGTTCTGTTTGCGAAGTTGCTTAAGTTTAAGCAATCTGCCCCAATTCAATTTTCCCCATATGCCCTATTACTATCTTTGGTAAGCTATTCAGCAGAATATGAACATCTTCAGAAATGCCTCTGGTATTGTAACCTGTGTGAGCGATCTTACCTCACTTCGGTAATAATTTCTAGCTGACGCTGATGCATTTCTTCTGACAGTGGTTTCTGTACCAAAAATTTCAATTGTTTAAAGAGACGACTTGAAAGAGTTCCAGTTTCTATGAAATTAATTATGTCATATATCATCATTGACTTGGGGATGTGTTTGAGCTCTAGTCTACGCCAAGGGTTATTTTTGCCACCACGAGATGCAGGAATCTGATCTAAAAGATTGGAATACTGGATGGGAAAAAACAGTAAAAAGTACTGGTTATAGTGCCAAGCATGTTTTTGTGTTTTTCTATGTTTCTGTGCCCCCCCCAGTGGAACCCTGGGGCCTACCAGAGCTATATCTGGCAGTGCTTGGGAGGCCCTGTGGAGCTGGGGGTTGATTCTGGGGCCATGTGCATGCCTGGCATGTGCTCTAGTTTTCTGAGCTACATCCCAGCCCACTAGTATGTTTTTAGACACATCTCCCAAAGTTCCTCTTATATACAACTTCCTTAAGAAAATATTTTTTTGGAGGGGGCAGGGAGATAACACAAAAGGTTGAAGGCATGCTTTGCATGTTGGAGGCCTGGGTTTGATCCCTTGTACCACACAATTCTTCAAGCACTAAAGGGAGTGACCCCAGAGTGCTGAGTCTCAGGCAGGGCCTGAGCACCACCGGTTGTGGCCCCCAACAAACCAAACCAAAGCAAACCAAACGGCCACCTGCAGACTGGGCTGAGCAGATGTCTCAAGGGGCTGGAGTGCTTGCTTGGCACGTGGGCGCCCCAGTTGTGATCTCCAATATTTCACGGTACCCAAGTACTGCCAGAAGCAAGGTTCTCTGAGCACTGCCAGGTGTGATTTCAAAACAAAATAAAACAAAAAAAAGAGTACATTTGCACAAACCTTTTTAGAAATAAGGAGGTTATCAGTGGTGCTAAATGGCAAATTTCACCTGCTTTAATTTGGAGTCTTTGGAATAGTTTTTAACATACAATAAGATCAAACACTGGGGCATGGAGATGTGGCTTAATTGGCAGAGCATAAGCTTTGCAGGAGCAAGGCCCTGGGTTTGATCTCTGGTATTGTTTGGTACCCTAGAACCACTGATGATGGCCCCTGGGACCTGAGGAGGAAGGAATCAAAAGATCTTATAAAAGTGAACTCTAAAGATCTTATAAACATTTACTTTAGAGCTGGAGCGATAGGACAGCGGGTAGGGCGTTCGCCTTACAAGCGGCCAACATGGCCGACCCGAGTTCGATTCCTCCGCCCCTCTCGGAGAGCCCGGCAAGCTACCGAGGGTATTCGATATGCCAAACACAGTAACAACAAAGTCTCCAATGGAGACGTTACTGGGCCCGCTCGAGCAAATCGACGATCAACGGGAGGGCCTTTACCTTTTACTTTAGAGCTAAGGATAGGGCAGGAGCCAAATGCTACTAGGAAATGGACAACCAGGCAGTTAGGGTATAACTGTTCCCATCCACAAATGCCCACACTCATATACAGACCAGCATTCCTTTCCTTGTGTTATTTAGGCATGTGCTAATTTCAGTCACCACTGTTTAGCTGAATAAGCCCAGTCCTCTAACAATATGGTTCACGTTTCAGTTACTACAGTAATAAAGAGTAATTTCACAAAGTGAAAACTCAGCAGTTAGCTCTTTTGTCCATACATCATCAAATATATGACAAATGTGCATGATGATTCATGACAAATCATGCTATTTCTCTCACGTATGTCAGTGAGCAGTCGTCAGGAGAGACGTGTTATTCAGTTCACACACAGCCAAGTGCATATTTTGTGACCTCTTTGTCTCCTAGTGAAAAACCCACATAGCATTTTATAAAAAAAAATAATCAAAAAAGGGAATGGGCCAACAGAGACAGAAAAGGTGGTAAAACTGCAAGTAAAATTTGAATCAATAGAAAATGGAGTTCTAGAAGAAACAGGTGCCATCGTTCACACAGAAGGTCTCAGAGTTCAATCCCTGTCAGTGAAAAGCAAACAAAAAAGCACTGAGAGGGTGAATGTCGAGAAAGACAATATGAGGGGTCTTTGATATATTGCTCTTCCGGTGATTCAGTCTCAGTAATCTGAAAGGCCACAAGGGCATGGAGAAGATGCTCGCTCTATGCTGTCAGGTATATGAGAAGAAAAGGGAAGCACGGTGCAAACAACCCTTGAGAAACAGCTTTGAGATTCACATCCCACATGACACACCTTTATACATGTACAAGTCAAAGGATTTTAGTATATTCTGAGCCAAGGGTTTTATTCCCCAATAGGGAGCACTTCTGAGTGAGCTCAGGCTGGCTACATTGGTGAAGGCCTTGAGGCCACACTGGCAGTGCTGGGGGTGACCAAGGATGCAGCCTTGGTGCGGGAGGGGAGGGGGCTAAATGATGCCAGAGTTCAAAGCTCGAGGGCCCTGAGCATGCAAGGACTGTGCTCCCCTCTTCTGAACTATCTCCTTGGGCCCCTGCATGATCACTTTGATGGTCCTGTGAGTTGAGCACTGCTAGTGTGAGTATGTTATTTCTGGAGAGTGGAGTAGTCGAATGAATAGACAGCTCCAACTGTCAGTGCTCGGTTCTACACTAACCTTGGGTAGGTTTTTTGTTAGTGGTGTTGTTTGGGGGTCACATTTCTCAGTGTTGAGGGCTTACGCCTGGCTCTGTGCTTGGGGATAGCTCCTGGCGGGGCTCAGCTGACCTTATGGGGTGTTGGAGAGTGAAAACAGGTCCAGCTGTGTGCAAAGCAAGCGCCCAATCTGCTGTGCTATCGCCCTGGTCCCTAACTTTTTTTTTTGCATCACACCCAGCAATGCTCAGGAGCTACTCCCAGCCCAGCACTCAGGAATTACTCCTGGCAGTGCTTGGGGGACCATATGGGACGCCGAGGATCGAACCCAGGTTGGTCGTGCAAGGCAAACGCCCTACCAGCTGTACTATCACTCTGGCGCCTAGTCGCTAACTTTCTATGACAAAGACATCTGTTTCTTTTCTGGCCCATATGTGACTATGCAAAGGACTTACTCCTGGCTCTGCCCTCAAGGATCACTCCTGGTGGGGCTTGGTGGGATCGTATGTGGTGGTGGGATTAAACCCCTGGTCTGCTATGTGCCCTACCTCTTGCAGTACTCTCTTCTCCCTCTCTCTCACCTATGTTTTAAAAAAACCTCTCACTTCACCTTGTTTTAATCATCTATTAGAGTCACTTACAAATTTGAAGACTGGAGGGAACTATTTACCTATCTATCTGGCTAAAAATCACTTATATCTCAATTCTTAAGAAGAGCTAAAACCTATTTGTGTCTAGAAACTGATTCAAAAGATGACAGCAATCACCACAGTTCTCTCTTCAGAAGTGTCAAACTGAGGACACCTTTGTCTCAGACACCAATTCTTTTTTTTTTTTCGCTGTCAGCTGCCACTTTATTTATTTATTTATTTATTTATTTTTTATTAGTGAAGCACCATGAGGTACAGTTGTAGATTTACAAATCTTTGTGCCTGAGTTTCGGTCATACAATGATCAAATACCCATCGTTCCACCAGTGCCCATTTCCCCCCACCCCCCCTCCCACCCTGCCTCTGTGGCAGGGCATTCCCCTTTGTTCTCTCTCTCCTTTTGGGTGTTGTGGTCTGCAAAAGAGGCATTGAGTGGCAATCATGTTCAGTCCATAGTCTACTTTCAACATGCATTTCCCCTCCTGGGAGGATCCTCCAAACACCTTTCATTTGGTGTTCCTTTCTCTATCTGAACTGCCCTTTCCCCTAGAATATCCGGCTGGCCTCTAAGTTATGGAGTAATCCTCCTGGTGTTGATCTCAGCTATTCTTAGGTATTGATCTCATATTTTGTTGCTTTATATCCCCCAGATGAATGCAATTTTTCTATGTCTATCCCTCTCTTTCTGACTCATTTCGCTTAGCATGATACTTTCCATATTGTACCACTTGTATGTAAATTTCATGACTTCATCTTTTCTAAGAGCTACATAGTACTCCATTGTGTAGATGTACCAGAGTTTCTTTAACCAGTCATCTGTTCTTGGGCACTCAGGTTTCTTCCAGTTTCTGGCTATTGTAAAGAGTGCTGCAATGAACAAACAAGTGCAGATGTCACTTCGACTACACATTTTTGCCTCTCTGGGGTATATTCCCAGGAGTGGTATCGCTGGGTCAAATGGGAGCTCAATTTCTAATTTTTTGAGAAACGTCCATACTGTTTTCCAAAAGGGCTGAACTAGTCGACATTCCCACCAACAGTGAAGGAGTGTCCCTTTCTCGCCACATCCGCGCCAGCATCGGTTGCTTTTGTTCTTTTGAATGTGGGCCAGTCTCTGAGGTGTGAGATGGTATCTCATTGTGGTTTTGATCTGCATCTCCCTGATGATTAATGATGTAGAGCATTTTCTCATGTGCTTTTTTGCCATTTGGATTTCTTCTTTGAGAAAGTTTCTGTTCATTTCATTGCCCCATTTTTTGATGGGGTTGGATGTTTTCTTCTTGTGGAGTTCCACCAGTATTTTGTATATCCTTGTTATCAACCCCTTGTCAGATGTGTATTCGGTGAATATCCTTTCCCATTCTGTAGACTGTCTTTGTATTTTGGTCACTGTTTCTTTGGAGGTGCAGAAGCAGACACCAATTCTTGGCACAGTCACTATCTGCAAGTATGTAACCTATGTCCTCAGCAAAGACAGTTGGCATTCTGAAGCTCTACTTAATTCCTGGTTCCATTCCTAATCATCTAAGACTCAAAAAAGGAGAAGGCTCAGTGAGTACAGCACTTGTGACTTGCATGTATGAAACTCTGGATTTGAGCCTTGGCATCACCAAAAGAAAATTGGGATCTTTAAGGTACTACATTACATTAATTTCATATTTCACATGGAAGCAAGTGTGTGGGCTATATAGTTATGGCCATATGTTATTAGGAACTAAAATTTTTGGATCTCTTATTTCTTTAGACTTTGTAAAATGGGAGCTAGTGAGATATTACAGTGGGTAAGATGCTTGCCTTGCATGAGGCGGGTGCTGAATCGCACTAGTATATATGGTCCCCAGAACCCCCACTAGGAGTGACCCCCGCAAACTGCCAGAAAACAAAAACGAATTTGTAAAATGGGGATACTAGCAATACCTACCTCTTAAGGTTTTTATGAGAATAAATGGGATTGGTATTAGATCAATATTTGCTTTTATTTTTAAGATATCTAATATAAATCCCGATTCTGCATTCCATTTTCTTTTTCTTTTTTTTTTTGGGTCACATCCAGCAATGCACAGGAGTTACCTCCTGGTTTTGCAGTCAGGAATTACTCCTGGTGGTGCTCAGGGATGCTGGGAATTGAACCTGGGCCGGCTGCATGCAAGGCAAATGCCCTACTTGCTGTACTATGGCTCCAGCCCCTGCATTCCATTTTTGCCACAAACTAGAAAGCTAAATGCTGCATTGAACCCCTTTCTTTAGCTTACCTCCCCATCCAGCATCTAGACCTACTGCTCTAAGTTCCTCATCTCTCGGCTCACAACCCTAAACTGAGCTAGTTCTCCGATATTACTTGTGCTTCAGACAAGAAGGCTCCTGCTGGCCTCTAATCCATTCCCTGCCGGTCTCTAAATCATTCCAGCCTGATGGATCCCTTCTCTCTTGAGATGACCTCATTACTGGTGCCCAGACTCGAGGAAAACCGAACACCTCTCTAAGGTTGAAGGCCCACCCTGGTAAGAGTACCAGCCCTCCAGTCTGACAGCACACCACACCCTCCCTGTTCACTCTTCTCCAGTCTGCAGACCCCCTTTTAGGCCCTGGAGCATTTTTTCCTGCTATAGAGTCTTTGCCTGGGGTGTGCCACCTGCTCAGCCCCAGGCTGATGCTGTGACACATTGTTGATTGCCTGCCCATCAGACACTTCCCACTTCTCCCTTGCTTGCCGAACTCTGACGGGTTAGTCTGTTTTGTTTTGTTTTGTTTTGTTTTGTTAGGAACCTGCAACAGCTCTGGGAAGGAGACCCCAGCACATGAACCATGATGGTTTAAAGAGTGAGAAATGATCTCATTCCCTTTTGCAGTAACTGGTTTAGGGGGAATACATGGTCTAGTCCTAATCAATGAGAATGGGGCCAGGGGAGGGGAGTATGTTGGGGAGGTCTGGAAAAAGATTTTTTTTCTTCTTGAGGGCTAGGAGTTCCCCTCTTGCCTTTGCATGTAACTGTGAACGTGACAGTCATCTTCTTACCAAGTGAGGGAAGCTAAATGCATGTTAGAGAAGCCAACCCAGAATTCTGATGTCTACTAGCTAGCTCAGGGACCCCCCACAAACACACACACACACAATCCAAGTAGAAACAAGTAGGAACTTCTTATAAGGAAAATTAAATAGCTTTCACAGTTTAAGCCTCTCATAGCTGGGAATATTTTGTTCCTTCTAGCAGAGCATTTCCACATCCTCACCGGGTCAAATCCCTGTCATATGCTCTCTTAGCACCATATATTCAGATTTGATGTTTTGATTTTTTATGGAGATAAAATTCACATAATACCAAATTCATCATTTTAATGCACACAGTTCAGTGCTTTTCAGTAAATTCACACTTTATAGCTCTACTACTTTCAAAACATTTCCTGCATCCCTCCAAGGAGAGCTCACATTCCTTAGCTCTCACTCTCCAGACACAAAAAGCCACGCGTTATAAGAGTCCACTAGTAGGAAATCTCCAAAATAGGCAACTTAGAATGGCAAAAGCAGATCAGTGGTGGACAGTGCCTAGAGGGAGGGATGAAGAGTCACTGCTAATGGACGGGTAGGACCGATTCTTCTGAGGTGGCAAAAACCTTCTGAAACCAGATGGTGGTAATGTTTACACACTACTGGGAATGTCCTTAATTACAACAGGACCACACACTTTAAAATGGCTAAAATTGGGGGCAGGGGGAGGTGTACAAAAATAAAATGTTCGAACAGTGAAACTTATATAGTGTGGGCTTTGCCCCCCAGTAAAAAAATAATGTATGATTCCTTCTTCTTGGAGAATAAGGGCCAGGAAGGCTTTTGTTTATTTTCAACATCTAAGTCTAAATTCCTTACCTGCATATAATCTTTTGTGGTGACAACGTCTACTTCGTCACTTATTTCAAACTTCTGGTGAACAAGCTCATCTTCCATCATTTGACAGTAAAGCTTTTTCTCCCCCACAAGCCTGTAAGTATCAGCTATTGCCTATAAAAAGAATTGAAAGTAGACTTTTGAAATAGAGGCACAACAGAAATAATTAGGCTTGTCCTTCAAGCCAGTGTTCTCCCTCAAACACTTACCTCGCTTGCTTGTCTCTATGCTTCATTACTTTTTTCTGCTCTGGAGAAGCCTGTGTTCGCTCTTGAACATGTACTTCTCTCTTTGTCTCTCCTCACATCTTTCTAAATAAATTTCAATAAAACTATCTTGCTTCACAAAAAATGATAGCGATAATTATCAGCACATGCTTTGTATATTTTTCCTAACAAATATGGCTCCTTCTTCTAGCAGCTTGCTTGTTAAAAAAAATTCTTTGTTTTCAAGGGAAAGATTCTATAGGGAGGTTTTTTTTTATAACCACTGGACATTTGTTTCCATATCAAGATAGTTTTATAATGTAGCTAGGGGAGCAGAGTCTATAATCATAGAGACCCAGTTTTGTCTATTATCTCCCCGAAAACATTTTTCTCCTTACAATACAAAACAAATGTACGATCTCATTCATGCTGTGAATACCAAGAAAACTCATACAGTTAATAAATAGGTTGCCGTAGGAACTGCAAGGAGAGGTGCTGTGTGGCAACTTTCCTGTATGTCAGTTTAGACATCACCCCAATTGAAAACATGCTTCAGGCTGCTTACGATCTCCCTTCTCTCTTTCGAGTCTTTCTTCTCAGTAATCAAGGAGTAGCAAATAATAATAAAAACAACAACAATAATAATGATGTTGTTTTCTCTCCCAAAGTGTTGCTACCTTATACTTAAGAAACGCAACTTGGGCTGGAGTGATAGCACAGCGGGTAGGGTGTTTGCCTTGCACACGGCTGATCTGGGTTCGATTCCCAGCATCTCATATGGTGCCCCGAGCACGGCCAGGAGTAATTCCTGAGTGCATGAGCCAGGAGGAACTCCTGTGCAATGCTGGGTGTGACTCAAACATTTAATAAAAAAAGGGGATAAGAAAAGCACCTAAGAGGACAGAGAGAGAATCACAGGCACCAGAGAGGTTCAAACCCTGTTTGGCCTACTTGCGCTACCCCCTTCATGTAAACGCAGCCTCCTGCTAAGAGCTATACATAGACTGTGAGTAGAGCCGTAAGTACTCACCACCCCCCGTAAGTATGTGCTGACTCTTCTAACACATATTTATATTACGTATCTGTGCTTTTGGCCACAAAGGGTATGCTTATGTGAAAGGCAGCTGGCGTCTAGGAAAATTCAACTATTTTGATTCCAGATTCCCTTTGCTTCTGTATAGCAGAATGTGGTATTTGTGCATGTATGGGCCTCAATGCTGATATGGCCCTAAAAGAGTGGTGGAGACAGCAGCAAAACTCAGAAACATTCCTTTTGATGTAACACACAATACAACAGCAAGCTTAGTGATTTTAAATGAGTTTTCTATTACGTTTCCTATTCTAATTTGGCATTTACCTTTTGTTTGGTTTTTGGGCCATACCTGGTTCTGCTCTGGGCTTACTCCTGGATCTGCACTCAGGCATCATTCCTGGCAGGCTCTGGGGACCATATGGGATGCCAGGGATCAAATCCAGGTCGGATGTGTGCTAAGCAAGCACCTTACCTGGAGTACTATCGCCCTGGCCTTGGCATATCCCATTTCATTTATTTTTTATTCTAAGCTTAGAACATACACATATGGAAAAGAAATGAAAATATTCAAATGGTTGTAGTTCTATTCCAAATGCACTAAATTGAAGGAAAAAAATACGATGGCACCTTCCTTTAGGCAGATCATTTTTGTTGCCATTTCATTAGTTGCTTTATACATCTAATGTAAAGGCACTATGTGCCAATAGTGCCTTCTTGCAATTAGTTCCCTGGGGGTTCTAATTAACCATCCTGATTCCCCATCCTGATTCTAAAAGTGAAGGCTGCTAGCTGTACACTAAGCGGGTCTGAAAAACCATCTAAGTTCTGGCTTGAGCACTTCTTTAGATGTGACATTTTACTTTAGCTCAAGTTACTCAGAGGATGTATTTACTGTCAGTTCCTACCTACTCTAGTCCACTCAGCCGCTGCCATCAACCTCTCCAAGTCCCAGTTTCCTTATTTGTGCAGTGCCTCAGCTGTGTGGCTCAGCTGTGTGAGGCCCGTTCCAGTCCCGAGGCCAAAAAAAACGCCAAGCCTGGCAGCACAGGGCAGGCTTGCTGCCCACTTGTGACAAGAATTTGAAAAAAAGTTTGCCCTCCAATAGCCAAGATGTTCTTTCTCAGAGTAAGGCTGGATAAGGGGAAGGATGGGAATGAAGAACTGGGTCCAGGAGAAAGGGACGGGGCAGGGTTGTGGGCTCCAGAGGCAGGTTCCATTCCTAGTGGGTGACTTGATGGGTCAGAGGGGGCATGTCTCAACTGAATAACTCCACTGAGACCCCATAGCCCAGTGGCTATATGCCAGACACCTACTTGGGCTTATCCAACTGCTCTGATAAGCCACTAGCCTGTCTGGCCGGGAATTCTTATTCATGAAGGTAGGAAGGGCTAGCACCCCCATGGTGGAGGTAGTTTGGTGGTTTGGAGCAGTTTGATCATGTACAGCCTCAAAACTCAAAATGATCAAAACTGGTTTCAACTTTGAAATGTGCATAGTACGTGGAAACACAAGAAGTGTTCAAGTGTCAGTTCTTCCCCCTGACAAGCCTCTCCAAGTTCCAGTCTCTTCACAGGCAAATCGAGAACAGCACATACCTTCCCAGAGCCACTGAAGGAACACTTAAGGCACAGTGGATAAAAAAATTTTTTTTTCTCCAGTGAGGAGTCTTGGTCAACTGGGCCAGCAGTTCAATGGAAGGGCCTGAGGATGAGCTCTGGCCCTGGGGTTCCAGGTTTACATGGGACAGTGCTTGATGTCCCCAAGGGTGGCACCCAATGATGCTTGGGGGAGCCATATGATGCCAGGGATCGGGACTGGAGCAATAGCACAGCAGGTAGGGTGTTTGCCTTGCACGCAGCCTACCCTGGTTCGATTCCCAGCACCCCATATAGTTCCCCGAGTACCGCCAGGAGTAATTCCTGAACGTAAGGCCAGGAGTAACCCCTGAGCATCACCGGGTGTAACCCAAAAGGCAAAAAAAAATGATGCCAGGAATTAGTCACTGTGCTATCTCCTAGCCATCTTGTGGCCCAAGAGATGGCGTTAAGCAGCATTCTTGACTCAGGAATGATTCAGCACGGTTAAGGCCCTGGATGTTGATGGGTATGGATGGCAGACACTTTCCTAACTATAAGGCTTCATGCAAGTTAATTTTTCCTTTTTAAAAAACTGCTTTGTTTTGGGGGAACAATTGGTAATACTCAGGGGTTACTCCTGACTTGTACTCAAGAATTACTCCTGGTGATGTTCAGGAGACAATGTGGGATGCCGGCGACCAAATATAGGTCAGCAGTGTGTAAGACAAGTGCCCTGTTCCCTGTACTATTGCTCTCGCCCAAGTTAGTCATTTTCAAATGAAGTCAACATGGAATCTACATTCTAGAATTTAGGAGCATTAAATGATAATGCACATAAAATATTTAAATAGTATCATACTTGATAGTGCTCAATAATGTTTCTCCTTTCTACAAAAATGCCAAGCCCTCAAAAAGACTGGCATCTGGTACCAGAGCGATAGTACAGAAGGTTAGGTGCTTGCCTTGCTCATGGATGACCAGGGTTTGATCCCCAGAATCCCGTATGTTCCCCTGAGCACTGCCAGGAGTGACTCCTGAGTGCAGAGCCAAAAGTAACTTCGAGCATCACTGGGGGTGACCCAAGAGCACAAAAAAAGAAAAGAAAAAAAAAGGCAGTGATCTTCAGTTTAAAGTAACTATTGAGGGGCTTGTGATATAACTATGAGGCAGAATGCATACTTTCAATGTATGAATGAGGCTGTGGATTTGATCCCTCCAAACCACTGAAAAAATGAAATAATGTATGTTTGATGTTGATTTTTATTTATTCGATTTGGGGTACATGCCTGATAGTGCTCATGGGTTATTCCTGACTTCTGTGCTTGGGGGACCCTGTTGTACCCAGGGTTAAATGGGGGTCTGTGCCATGTAAGGCAAATGCATTAATCCCTGCCCTGTATCTCCAGCCCTAATATTGATACTTGTTAACTGTCAATTACCCAGTGGTATTCCAGGCCCAGTTGGTGGGGATATGGACTTTAGGACAGTGACTGTCAAACAGTACCATGCACAGGGTCACTTAGGGGTCGTCAAATTTCAGTATGAGTCTGCATTTATAATATGTTCTTATGATGCCAGTCATGAGGGTCTGTAGATGATGCTTTGAGTAGCAAGGGTTTAGAATATTCTAAATATAGTTGTTGGAATAACTACAATAGCAACCTTTGGTAAATAGGCATCACTCTGAAAATAGATCATCGAAGGAGATAAGTGAAACAAGATCTGTGTTTTATACACATGACTATCCAATTGTTCTAGCACCATTTGAAAGACTTGGCATCTTACTGAAGTGCAGGTCTATTTTTGAATTCTCTATTCTATCCCATGGATCTGCATCTCTATCAATCACTGCACTGTTGAGATTATTGCAGCTTTGTAAGTCATGAAATCAGATGGTGCAAAACCTTCAAACTTTGTTCTTCTGCTCCAGTGTTCTTTAGGCTGCTCTATATCCTTGTATTGGTTTTGCTTCATGTGCACGTGTATATTATGGGTATATATGTGTATGTGTGTGTGAATACATGAGGAATGCCAATGAAAAATCAAAGGAAATGAAATGGAAGAATGAAGGAAAAGATGGGACAATAAAAATCTGTAAAACATTTCTCCTTTATAAGTGAGCTTAGATTAAACACTGGAATGGACCAAAACTGACTTGTTGCTTTCATCTAAAGAAATAAGCAAACTTATGAAAGTTGAAACTATGGGGCCAGAGAGCTAGCACAGTGGGTATCGCTTGTACGCGGCTGACCCAAGGTTCAATCCCTGGAATCCCATATGGTCCCTGAACCCACCAGGACTGGTTCCTGAGGTACAGAAACAGGAGTAACCCCTGTGTACTGCTGGGTGTAACCCCAAAACAAAAAACAAAAAGTTGGATCCATCTTATATACAGTTTCTACAAAGAGCAAAGAAGTTGAGTAAACTTACAGTGAGAAAAATTCATTTCTATGGGTATTCTACAAACATGAATCCAATCGTTACCAGAGTTTGTTTGAAGCTGAACTAAGAGCAAAAAAGGAACTCTAAGTTATTCTCTTTAAGCTGGGCATGTTCTTATAATTAAAAAAAAAACCATAAGAGAGGGGCCGGAGCAATAGTACAGCAGGAGCCAGGAGTAATTCCTGAGCATCGCGGGTGTGACCAAAAAGCAACAACAAAACAAAACAAAACAAACAATCCCCCCAAAACCATGAGAGGCTGGAGAGCTACATAATGCTTTTTTTTAATTAAAAAATTGTTTTCTGCCACAGCTAGCAGTGCTCAGGGCTTACTCCTTACCCACTGTACTCTCCTTGGTGCCTGTGTGGCCTCTGATGATGTATTTAGTGAGTCTTACTTCCCATGTGAACAATTTCTAGAAGGCTACTAGAAAATAACTTTTAAGCTGTGGTTCACCAAAGGCCAAAGAATGTATACATTTGCTCAATTGTAATCATGTAGAAGGGTCAAAGGAGTGAAACCCATGGTGTAGACCCTTGTAATGGACATGGCCAGGCTGCTGCAGCATCTGGGAGCTCGTAGAAATGCAAAATCTTAGGCACCACGTCAGATCTACTGAACCAGAAATTCCATTTAAACAAGATCCTCAGGTAATTTCCTAGGCTGTAGACAGAATTCTGGAGAACAGCCATGAGACTTACAAGCATGAGAACTGAAGCAATAGTTATTTTTAAAATATTTTAGACCCAGGACCCAGGACAATAGTATAGAAGGTAGGACGTTTGCCTTGTATGTGGTTGAGCAATCCGGGCTCATTCCCTGACACCCCATATGGTCCCCTGAGCCTGCCAGGAGTGATTCCTAAACACAGAATCAGCAGTAAGCCCTGAGCCCTGCCAGGTGTGGCCCCAAAACGCACAAAAAATGTTTTAGGCCAAGAATGTAGTTCAATCAAATTTTATTTATTTATTTATTTGCATTTTTGGGTTACACCCAGTGATGCTCAGGGGTTTACTCCTGGCTCTGCGCTCAGGTATCATTACTGGGGGTACTTGGGGGACCTTTTGGGATGCCAGAGATTGAACCTGGGTCAGCCATATGCAAACAAACACCCTACCCACTGTACGATCTTCAGACCCCTCAAATTTCATTTTTTTAAAAATTTATTTATTTATTTATTTTTCTTTTTGATTAGTGAAAAACCATGAGGTACAGTTATAGGCTTACAAATTTTGTGCTTGGGTTTCAGTTATACAATGATCAAGTGCCCCTGTCAAATTTCATTTTTTAAAGTTCATTTTGAATAGCCCAGCACATTAAAAAATATGCTAACAGAATCAAAGAAATAATGACAAAATGTCATTAAAATAAATGATATTAACTAGTGCTACCTCAAGAAAATGTATTTAGAACAACTAAGAACAAAACAAAAACGTAAATAAACTTTCCTCACTTTCTATATAATTTTCAAATCCTGATCAATAGGCCATTTATTAACAGACCAAACTTTTAATATGAAGAAAGCGGATGGTATTTCCAAGAGCAGGGCTGGAGAGTCTTTCTCTGCCCTGGACCACTTGGACATTTATAACATGATTTGTGGGCCGTGACATCAGGCAGACAGCTGTGGGCAGCCAAAGAGCAGTAGACACATCTGTCCTGTCATGCCCTGGGGCCAGACCAAAGGATGTCACTGCTGTGGTTCCCACACCTGTTCTAGGACCGTGGATACGTGATTTGTCTCAAATATTTGTTATCTGATAAACGAAAATACTTTGAAACATGATACTTAAAGGAAGTACTATCTGCCTGCAGGGCTGTTTAGTAGTGAAATACTGTAGTCCATATACTTTGTACACATTTCAGATATTACGTGGATGTCAAGAAGCTCAAGTAACATAAAATGCACATCATTAAATATCACCTTAATTGACGACTTCAGTATATTTCTTCCACAAAAATACTTGTAACCATGGCCATCACTATGCAGAAAAATTTTAAATACGATGTAAGGTGGAAATGTTTCACCACTGAATCTAAAATAAAGGACAAGAATTAGTCTTTTGGCATCAAGTTTTAGGTTCAGGTCTAGGCTTAATTCTCCCCTATCCTTGAAAAGTCACCTTTTTCTACAAGCAGGGCAAAGGCTACATAAGAGCATTGAAAGCACCGGCATTGAAATGGGTCGGAGAGAAGGAAAGAGCCCCAGGTCTGAGCTCCCAGTGATTCCCATACATGTATCAGAATGGATAGACTATGGGAGATAAGAGCTGCTTTCAAGGCCGAACTGTTCTTCAGTTTCTTTTTTAAAACATGAAAACAAATATATTTTCTGTTTTTACTGAGGCAAGAGTGGACTGGAGTGATAGCACAGCAGGTAGTGTGTTTGCCTTGCACAAGGCCAACCCGGGTTCAATTCCTCCATCCCTCTCGGAGAGCCTGGGAAGCTACTGAGTATCCCGTCTGCACGACAGAGCCTGGCAAGCTCCCCATGGCATATATGCCAAAAACAGTAACAACAAGTCTCACAGTGGAGATGTTACTGGTGCCAGCTTGAGCAAATCGACGAACAACAGGACAGTGCTACAGTGCTACTGAGGCAGGACAGTTTACAACTTTGTGATTATTGATGATTTAGGTATTCACTGTAAGATAACATTGGTTTGTCCTTTCTCCCTTGCCACAGGGAGCATAGGTTTATCGGGCTATACTCATCACAGTGCTCCTGAGTCACTCCCATTCCTATGTGTTTATCTGTAAACTCTGTGCTCTCCTCCCCAACCAATTAATCACCTTGTTCCCCTAATCATATTCTGTTAGCCTGTAAGATCAGATCCTTCTAAAGACACTGAACTTGTATGTTAAATATTGCTTTTCCCCATCTTTTGCATAGTTTACTTTAAAGCAATGTCCTTTCTGTATGGACACAGGAAGACAGTTAATATTATGCTTTTGTAACTTGGTAGTTGATTGACTATGAATAATATTTACTATTGGGCATCTGCTTTCTCGACTCAGTTGCCCTTAGTTCCTAGCACTCCAAAAGCAGAGACCCTAGGAGAGACTGAATGTACCCAGGGCAAGCTGTGAGCTACACTGGTATCAAAATGGGCCAGGCCAAGCACCATAATACTTAACTATAAGTTAAGAGCATGGTCATGGACAAATGCTGTCATGATCCAAAAGTAACAACGAGGCTAGGACACTTTTGGGGTTAGGAAAACTAACCTGGCCTGAGGACTACGGTCTGGAATATATAGTGAGATGTCCTCAGGAAGAACCAAACCTTAAGTTTATACCTCTTACTGTGCTCATACAGAATGACATTGCTAGAAACATTAGAAGTAGATTTACTACAACTATTTAAGTGGATTACTAGCTGAGGAAAGAAGAAAGCGACACACTCTTGTTGGGATCCCACCCTTGAGCGGATCTCCTAGTAATCCAGAGTCATCTCTTTAGATGAGATTTTATTCTTGAATTAATGTCCTTGAGGAGTGGAAGCAGAAAGAGTGGGAAGCAGGAAGGAGAATGAAGGGGGCTCTAGATAGAGAGCAGAAGGGGAATGGAGAATGAAATAAACTACAATTGATACCAAGTAGCCTGGCCCTCGTTACTTCCTTCCCTCGTTTCTTCCTTCGCCTACCTATCACCATCGGCTTCCCCGGGGTGGGGGAAGCGGCCAGAGACCACCCAACGCAGGCAGCAAGAGAGATAGAGCACTGCTGCCCTTTTGAAAACACACAATGTACCACACCCACCACCAAAGGACCAATATCCCTCCACTACCACCCCCAGGTCCCCTTGACGGGCCCCCCCTCATCTACCCTCATGCTCAGCTTGGTAAACTCAGTTCTACTGGCAGAGTCTAAGGGTTTCATTTTATTATGCCTCAGTTTTTTTTCACACAATGTCAACAAGAACAAGATATTATTTTGTTACTATGTTCTGAGAAATTATGAGAACTTTAGAAAATTAAGTTATGACTTCTTTATATGAACTTCATATGAACAAGTTCTTCTTGAAATGAATCAAAATTAGACATATTACCTGAATTTAACTTTATGCTTCATGGTAGGATCTTTTATAAGTTCAGCTTCTGAGGGGCTTGCATTGTGGAGTATTTCAGAAGTCACATACTGTTCCTGAAGTAGATGATGGAACTATAAATGGAAAGTAGTGCCCTGCCCAGGTGTAATTTACTGAAAATAACAGAGGCAATGAGGTAAATTGAACTTAACACGGGACTTGGAGTTCTAGTCTTGGCTTTTCTGCTTACCTTGTCTGTAGTCTTCAGCTGGTTATTTCATCCTTTTGAGCTCAAAGTGTGTGAATCTCTCTCTGAAGTGCTAAGCACGGTTATTTTTACAACAGATTGTTATTACGTGTTAACTCATCTATGTCTCCTACCAGAGTTACAAGCTTCATGAAGATAGGGGGCAGTGTCTTTCTTCTTTAGCACTGTATTCCTAGTATCTAGTAGAGTGTCTGGGATATAGCAGGTGCTACCAAAAAGTGATGCTGAAGCTGCAACCACTGGAACTTTGTAATGGGCCTGTCAAGTTCACAGGTAGGGGGTGGGATGGGGGCTGGAGGGGTAGGCATGGTATATAGTGGAGGGAAGTTGACACTGGTGGTGGAATTGGTGTTAAAATATTATATGCCTAAAACTCAACTATTATCAACTTTGTAAATTACAGTTCTTTAAGTAAATTGAAATAATTGAAAAAACCCTCACCCAAAAAAACCCCACATGTTGAAGTTGAATGAATCACTGTAAAATTAAAGTACTATCTCTTAATTGTCTTTTACATATGACATACTCCCTTATGTGCCATATACACACAACCTCATTAAGTCTTTATAAATCAGCATTATCATTTATTATTATTATTATTATTATTATTACCCTTTTAAAACTACGCAGCTGAGGCTCGGGAGTGTCTGTAATGTATCCAAAAGCATACAAGTAGTACATCGGGAAGCCTAGATTGAAACTTGGATCTGTTTCTTTAAAGCCCCCACCCTTTCCTGAGTTCCTTCCCAACTTTCGTTCCTATAACAATCATATAAAATGTGTGCCAGAGTAACAGTACAGAGGGTAGGGTACTTGTCTAGCATATGGCCAACTCGGGTTTGATCCCTGGAACCCCATATGGTCCTCCAAACCCACCACGAGTGATCTCTGAGCGCAGATCTAGGAATAATCCTTGAGCACCACCAGGTTTGGCCCCCCAAACAAAAAGAGAAAAAGTATACACTAGGACTTTTAAATAAGAGGCCAGGGAGATGGCTCAAAGGACAGGAATGCATGTATGGCAGGCATGAGGCCCTGAGTTTGATTGCTGGCAAGCTTCATTGGGGGGACCCCCCCACCAAGAAAAAATGGTAAAGAATTACTAATGTAAACTAGTAGTAACTTGTAGCATTAAGACAGAAGATAAAAAAACAGGATTTCCTTCTTTCTGTCTAAACTAGAAAAAACCTAAGTTAGAAAAAAATACTAACATTATGACAATTAAATACAAGTTTCATATGTGAAGACAATAGAACAATGAGAACTCACAAGTTTACTGGGTGGATTTTCTGCTTTTACTAATACCAGCAATGTATGTAAGGGTCAAACAGTAAAGAAGTATACACATTACTCAGATTTTATTATAATTTTCTAGAACTACTAAAATTCCCTTAAGGGAACTATTATGAATTAAAGTACTGTAAACATGGGTGACTTACTAGGTAAATTTTGCATTTTATGAAGAAAGGTTTAATACTCTGCTGAAGTACCAGATTTGTTACTTTGGGTAATGGGGAGCAGGCATCTTTTGTTTTTTACTCAAATGGGGCCATAATATTCATAACATGGGCCCCTTTTCCGTTAATGAGATCTTAGCTTCTGCTGCTGAATCATATTAATGACTACAAGGTGTAATGCTATGAAAATACCACGCTAATTTAGTCAGCAGTCTACCTACTGGACATTACGGAGTTTACTTTTATTGCTGTTACAAATGATGCCAGGAGGAAATTGTACATATACTGTAGAATGATTGCTAGAAGTGAAATTGCTGGGTATAGGTAAGGGCACTTTCAGTTCAGATTTTTCTGGGCCATTCTTGGGGCTCTAAGAGAAATTCTTTCCAGCAGTAGGAGGATCAAACAATGCCAGACTGAAAGACTGAAGCCAGGGACTCTTCTTTCACTTGAGCTACATCTCTGGTCCTAGTTTAGAGATTTTTTTATTGATAGAAGATCAATATTTCTATTTTATATTCTCAAATAGGAAGTTTGATTGAAAAATTATATTGGCTTCAGAAAAAAATAGAGCTACCCATGGGCCAGAGAGACAGTGCAGCGGGAGAGCCATTGCTTTGCACACTGCTGACCTGAGTTTGAATCCCTGCATGGCATATGGTCCTCCACACACCAATAGAAGTTATCCCTGAGTAAGCCTTGAGCACTGCTGGGTTTGGCTCACTGCTTCCCCCCCCATATTAAAAATCAATCCAGAAATAATCATTTAGGGATAACACAAGAAGCTATCCCAGAACCTCATACACTATTATTACATTCAAACAGTAGTGATTAGAATCAGTTATATAGCCTGTATCACACTTATAGAGCTTTAGCTTGATAAAAATTAAATGTCAAAGCAAACATAAAGCAAAATACATACCACTGCACAAATTGTGTGTCTTAGAAGTCGAAATATCACTCTATTTGTGTAACCAAGCCAAGCTCTCTGTATTATTTTTACTTTTTCTTCTTTGTAAGATCTGAGAGGGAAAAAAGAGGTACAGATTTGCAAAGTAGTTTTAATTTTCCTAAAATACTGAGGAACTCTGAACTTGTGCTTCCTCTTCCTGTATGTCCCAACCCTCTCCCCAAGAATGACTGAATAAGGTACATTTGGATGTAGTAACTGGAACTGGTCATTTGCAGAATCTAGTCAGAATGAGGATTTGAATACTTGAGACTATTTCCTTGGGCTAAAAGGAATCTTCATAATCTTTATAATTAAAATAAAAAATCATAATTTATATGTTATGAATAAAAAGTGAGAGAAGACAAATTTGCTTTCTAAAAACACCCATGACCCGAAACAATTCTGTTATAGTTAAAAACACTGTACAACTAGTTTAAGTGCTCTGAAAATAGAATGTGGGATAGTTGAAGCAACAATAGGCCTAATGATCTGGGAGGGGAGAACCATGGTCCTCAAAAAAAACTCCCTTCTTGGATCTTTGCCTCTGAACTGGGCTCATCCAGGTCAGGTCTGAGAATCGTGCTCCTTATAACTTTTGGTCATGTCTCAGCACTGGCAGACTGTGGGATCTGCCTCTCCAAGACCACCCATTATTGCCCCTTCACAGGGTTACATGCAAAGAAAGCTACTTCTACATAATGTCACTGCTGATTTGCAAACTGAAGACTGTAAGAAGCAGAGTAGAAAAGGCCTGAAGTATTGAAACAAACTTTTGAATCCTAGCAAATGCTATTTATTGACCCTTCAATCTTCTACAAATCACTTACTGTCTTCCAGTTGCCACCTCCTTGATTTTGGATGGGAATAAGACCATTTCCAAAGTTGTTTCAGGAGAGATGTGTGGCAATCACTGTCACTGTCTTCCCATTGTTCATCGATTTTCTCGAGCGGGCACCAGCAACGTCTCCATTGTGAGACCTGTTGTTACTGTTTTTTGCATATACGCCATGGGGAGCTTGCCAGGCTTTGCTGTGTGGGAGAAATACTCTCAGTAGCTTGCTGGGCTCTCCGAGAGGGGTGGAGGAATCGAACCCAGGTTGGCCGCATGCAAGGCAAATGCCCTACCCGCTATGCTATCGCTCTGGCCCATGTGTGGCAATAGGCTTTGTAAATGATGAGATCCTATCATTATAGTAATTATTAATCGATTCAAAAGTAATTTTAACACACACAAATCCTCTAATTCACAAAATAAGTGTTTTATGTCTGCTGTGTCAATACCAAATGGAAACTCTCCAGGTGTGGAAAATGATACAAAGTGAAAGATAGTACTGACCTGAGCTCAGGAAATGGGTCTGAAAGATAGTCTAATCTGAAGTCTTTAGTGAGTGGAACAGGTGATTTTGTGACAACAAGAGGAGGGTTCTTGAGGTAAATATTCATTTTCTGAATTTTGACATACTCTGAAAGTATAATAAATAAGCATTTGAGGTATAATTTGTATTATTACAGTTTGCATAAAACTCAACAGTCATATGATGATGCTAGATCTAGCACCTGTTCAAAATGAAGGCATAACTGATCTCTCTTTTCTTTTGACTTTTTGGGTCACACCTAGCAATGCTCAGGGGTTACTGGCTCTGCACTCAGGAATCACTCTCCTGGCGGTATCAGGGGACCATATGGGATGCCGGGGATTGAACCTGGGTTGGATGCATGCAAGGCAAACTCTCTACCCGCTGTCTATTGCTCCAGCCCTGTAATTGATCTCTTAACGTTGCTCACAGTTTACATTTTTTTTTGGGGGGGGGGAAGGGGACATTCCCAGAGGTGCTTAATCTTACTCCTAGCTCTGTGCTGAGGGCTCCCTCCTGGTCACTTGGGGGAATATATGTGGTGCTATAAATTGAACAAAAGCAAAGCAAATGCCATAATCGCTGTACTATCTTTCCAGCCTGGTTTATATTTTTTTGTGCTCTAAAACTACTAGGAAGTATAGAAGGAAAACAAGTGAATCTATCATAGCTTTTAAAATAATCTCCCTGCCTCCAGTTTTTCGTCTTCCTATCATCATGCACACGACAGTGGAATTAACTTTCTTCTATAAGAATGACCCAGCTGGGGATGTGTCTCTCTGGTAGTACCTGCCTTAATGTGTGAGGCTGTGGGTTAGATCCCTGGTACTGCAGAATGATCTAGAATAGTGTTTCTCAAAGTGGGTGATTCTTCCCGTTTGGGATGTTAGAATGATCCAGTGCAGACAGTACTAGCTATGGATGCAATTGGGGGTCACTTTTCTTGGGGTGTTAAGTGACTTTTTTTCCTGGAAATGGGGAGTTAAGCCAAACAAATTAGGGAGCCTCTGATTTAGAGACTCCTAAATCAAACCTTATCAGTCATCAGTTGAATATCTTTTAGGAACAACTCAGCTTCCCCAAGCTGAAGTTCAGACTCTAAACCATAACCACAATACTCTAAACCCTCTAAACCAAAACTAAGCTAATAACAAGATACAAAACAGAATGAAACTAGATTGTGAAAGACTTCCATACAATTCTTAATTATAATTGACCACTATAGCAATCATGGGCTGGAGCGATAGCATAGAGGTAGGGCGTTTGCCTTGCGCGCAGCCAGCCTGGCTGAGCCGGGTTCCATTCCTCTGCCCCTCTTGGAGAGCCCGGCAAGCTACCGAGAGTATCTTGCCCTCACGGCAAAGCCTGGCAAGCTACCTGTGATGTATTCAATATGCCAAACACAGTAACTACAAGTCTCAAAATGCAGATGTTACTGGGCCCGCTTGAGCAAATCGATGAACAATGGGAGGACAGTGACAGTGACAGCAATCATACCTCTTTAATTGTCATAACTCCCATCAGCAAATTTCCAGTACCATCCCACCACTAAAAAGACATTGTACTCATCCCTCTTACACCTCTATAAACCATAAGTGTTCACCAACTTTAGGATTTAAAGTTGTGTTTAAATTCTAAAGTTTTGTGTTTCTTGGTATTCTCTTGGTAATCAAAGTACCAACTTTCATCAACATTCCTCTCTATATTTTGAGAGAACAAGAACTTTTTGCCAAAATCAGTTGTTTACAACTCTGTGCTCAATTCATATCCTTTCCGTTTCCTTGAATCCTCTACCACCTGCAAATCAATTCATCTTTCAAGACCCATCTTATTGGTGATATTCTCTTAAGTTTTACACCTTATTTTACCATTGGGGTCTTTTATATCGTGCAAGGCTCCATAACACTGTTTATATCCCATAACACTGTATACACCCTCACTTTTCTGTGACTTGCTAAAGGTCTCAACCACCACACTTACAAAGTCTTGCTTTAACACATCTGACAACATCCAACCAAAGCCCAAATCTTATAAATCTTTCTAACACCTTAACCTCTGAAACGCCCCACTGTTGCCAAAAGTGTGTTTTCCTAGAAACAAATCATTTAACTACAGATGAGTTCCTCGGGGTCTTCGGATAGAGCACTGTGACATGAGAGGACCAAATCCCTGGAGTCTACTGAATACCCACCTGAATGGGGTCTATATGTCTTTAAGTTGGGACATAAGGTACAGAACCACTAGCACTCGCCCCTTCCCCCATTATAAGGCAGTTTAACAATTGTTTCAAGGCCTTAAAGGTGGACGATTTGGTATTGGACCCTGACCTCCCACTTTCTCTTATATGTGGCTTTGTCCAAATTACTTTTCTGTGCCTCTTTAACTTTTCTCTTTTCATAAGATCTGATATAATAATGTGTACAGCTATTTGGCTGTTGGAAAGACAGGGTCAGAGTGGGTTACATATGAAAGGCTGCATTTGAGCTTGCTGTTCTCGTTCGTAAGATCATTGACATTTCTATTTATTTTTATTAGTATAGGAACAAGCATTGTAGTCCCTGGGAAGGGGATTCATTTAGGTGGTCTAAAGAGGCTTTTTAAAAAGAAACGTCAGGACCTTTCGAAAGTAAAGGGCGTGAAAAGTTTAGCTGTAAACCTCAGAAACTAGATCGTAGCCCACAGAATTTAAAAAAAACCACACAAAGCAAAAACCTGAAATTTTTCTAAGAGGAATATCCGGCTTCAATCGGCTACTTCCGGTATCGGTGTTCCGAACATACTGATTGGTCGACAAGCGCCCCCGCGTGGCAGGGGTGTCGCCTCGGATGCCTCGTCCTTGGTTTTGCCCAACGGCTCCCGGGACGTTGGCCGCCTGGTGGTGAGCGCCGCGGCGCCCGTGGCGCCGGGTACCTCCCTTCGCATCCAGCGTAGCAGCTCCGGGAGTTGCCGCCTCCCGGGCTCTTAGCAACCACCGGCACGGGGGGGCGGAGCCTCGCGGGGGGCGGAGCCTACGTTTGTTCACCGCGCGCGCAGCGCGACGCGCATCTTTGCGACGTCGCCGGTTCTCTCCCGAGCGTTCTAACCTAGTCGTCGCGGGATCGTAGCGGCTTTACACATCGCCGCCCACGCCGCGGTTCGCGAGCGGTCGGAAGAATCAGGGCCCTTGCGGGCTGCCGTAGCCGCTTCTCTCTAGTGGGCGGGGCCAAGGCCGGGGTGACCCTGCCGGAGCCGCCGCTGCCAGAGACATGTTCAAGGTGAGAGCGTGGAGCCGGGTCACAGCTGTCACCACCCCTTCCCGGCCTCCCGGAGTCCTCCCCGCGCTCTCGTGGGCCTCTCCGGGGACCAGGCCCGGCTCGCTGCGAGGCCTTTCCCCCCTCCGGGCTGGCTGTGTCCCTACTTTGAAGTTCATTCACCGGGGCCGCTTCCGGGTGGAGGCGTGACCGGGGTGGGGGGGGTGGTGAGTGGTGGGTGGACCTTGCGGCTGGCCTCCTCGGGAATAAAGCCTGGGAAAGGTCGAGCGACTCCCGCAAACTGCCCGCCGCTACCACCACCCCTCCCCCCCCCCCCACCTGCGGGAACCCCATCGGGTTCAGGCGGAGGGCGAGGCCAGCTCGGAGGGGGGGCGGTGGGTGCTGTGGGGTTCGACTTTGGTTGCCGGGCAGAGTCAGGTTTCCAAACCTACCGCGTGGATGATGGAGGGTCACCTTCCGAGACGCAGGGCGCGGGGCCGGCCGCAGTGGAGGGCTGCGAGGGCAGGGGTGCCCCCTGCCGCAGGGAGCATCATTCGGTATCGGCGAGGTAGCCCCCCTTTCTGTTGGGGGAGTTGGTGTCTCAGAAAAAAAAAGCCGCTTGGAAAGACTTTCGAAAGTCTTCTTTTTGACGCGAGTCCCTTCTGCTACATCAGACTAGCCAATTCGATTGTCCAGCAGCCAACCGAAAAGTAGTGGACTTAAGTCGAGTGGGTTTAGTGACTGGAGCTAGTAGTACCTGAGAGTACATTGAGTTTCGTTGAGCTCCTGCGAGGTGCTGTGGGCACAATCGCATAGACTGGAACGGGGATTCTGCGTCCCAGCGCTGAAATTATCCCTGCTTGATTGTGTGACCTTGGGCAAGTCACTTCTCTGCCTTGTGCCTTTGGCTGAAATGGAAGTAGCATCTACTTCATAGGACCATTACAGGGAATAACCACGCGTGTTTGAAGTGCCTGGACTAGGCAAACGAAGTGCCGCCTAATGGTTTTGCTTTTGTTTTTTAGCAGCTCAGAGTTTTGTCAGTAGGATATGTCCCACAAACAACTTGCATTCACTTGATAGATTTGTGTCCACCCTATTACATCCTAGCGGCTCAGCTCACTTTTAGGGTTGTCACTCAGAAGACATGCTTGGATTCGTGTGTGAGTCTCAGCAGTGTGCTGGGGTAGTGAGAAGAACAGCATCTACTCCATCTAAACCCAGCAGTTCTAACCCCTGTGGTCCGCAGCCACTCAAAGGGTTTCTGGGTAGAATTCAGGGGTTTTCCGAACGGAGGGAGAAAAATTTTTTTCACTAGTTACCAATGGAAATTTGCCTTGTTTTAAACAGAGGTATCTGTTACAGTTATCAGTTGCTGAATAATGAGCTACAACAAAACCAGTGCCATAAAACTATAATAACTTCTTATTTCTCACCTCTTTCGGGTCAGTTTGTGGGCATGTTTCAGCAGCTGAATTTGGCTAGTGGCTGAATTAAAAGATGACTCTCGGAGGCTGGGTGCCCCTCAATTTGCCTGGCTTTGGGTTCTCCATTTGACTACTGGATTCCAAGAGTGCTGCACTACCAATGTAAAACACCGTTTGCAAGCACATTTGCTGATGTCAGTATGATGTGACCCTGCACGATGAGCAGGGATATGATAGCAGTGTTGTTAATTTGGGGGGAACATTAGTGGGTTTTTATAGCAACAAACCACAGTAGTAGTAGTAGTAGTAGTAGTAGTAGCAGTACTTGTCACCAATAGAAGTCACAGAACCACTAGTAGGTCACAGACATTTTCTTTTTCTTTTTAATTGAATCACCCTGAGATAGTCACAAAGTTGTTAATGATTAGGTTTCGGTCATACAACTTCTAGCACCTGTCCCTTCACCAGTGTACACAGACATTTTCATAGCACTTTACTATTGTGCATCTCAAAGTATCATTGTTGGGATGGGAGGATAGCTCACGTGGTAGAACACATGCATGTATGAGACTCTGAGTTTGAGCCCCAGCACCACATACCCCCCCACACAAGCACTGATGCATGTAGTTCTGCTGACCACCCAGCATTGCCAGGTCCACACCACCAGGGCTAAGCTTCACTGACCTCACACTAGGAGTGGCTCCTATAAAAATATAGTTATTTTCATCAACACTTCAAAGTTACAGTAGTTATATCTTCTTTGGGGGGGAGGTTGGTTTTGGGGCCACACCTGGCAGTGGTCAGGGGTGACTCTTGGCTCTGCACTCGGGAATTACTCCTGGCAATGCTTGGGGGACCATATGGGATGGGTGATGCAACCTGGGTAGGCTGCAGGCAAGGCAAGTGTCTCACCCACTGTAGTTTAAGTCAGGCCTCTGTATCTTCTTAATGAGTTAATAAGGAAGCACATGTCACCATCTTGTATCTGGCGTTTTAACAACATTCCTATGCAGTAATATAATTGGTATTTTATGCAGTTAGACTCTGTTTTAAGAAGGGGGGTTGCCCATAGGACACAAAAGGGTCAGGAATCCCTGGAACTTCAGAGGACACCTCAGAGAAGAGACATGTAAGTTCAGTTTTGAAGTACAAGTAGAAGTTCTTCAGGTGGGTTAGCTGGGGACCATCTATAGAAGTCCTGCTTTGGGGCAGTGTCAGTAGTGCAGTTCCGTGTTAAGGGAAAGAGTCCTGAAATTATTCAAATGCGTAGTTTAAGGGGCCAGGGGTTGGCACACTGGTGGAGCTGCCTGTCCTGTTTGAGGCCCTGGCTCCGTCCCTTGGCATTGCATAAAACAGACATAGTTTGAATAGGAAAGATCAAAAGAAACCATGGAGAAGATAAAATATGTTGGTAGGAGGCAGGGGAAGAGGTGGCCAGAGATGTTAGAGAAACGACCTTGGTTTGGACTCACACTTGGAGGTGCTCAAGGGTTTGCTCCTGGTGGTACTTGGGAATCAACCCTGGCTTTTTTTTAAGCTTTTTTATTTTTTCCAGTAGTATAACATTTATTTCATCATTTCAGTCAAATTACTTTTTTTTTGTATAAAAGACATACTTCGCATGCACTCAGTACTCAGTTCATTGATCTTGCTCTCCCGGCCCCAAAAGGCAACTTTCTTTAGGTATATTTTGGGAGTACACAAAAGTGATATTTAGAGAAACAAGGGAGGAAAATTTCCTGGTGTTCATTGTATGTTAGGATGCTTTCAGCCAGGAAAACCTAAGTGCTTAAGGAAAATTATCTCACAAAGTCCAGAGGAAGGATGGACTCTAGTGAGCCAAAAATGTAATCAGGATGTGTCTCTTGGCTCTACACACTAAGACTGATTTTTGTGGTTGCACGGGGACTACCAGTGACACCTGCTTTCCCATTCACTAAAATGAGAAGATGAAGACAAAACTCTCACACTTGGATTATAGTCAACTATACTTCAGTCTGATTGGACCAAATTAGATCAGTTTGATCTGATTGGCTTAGGTTGAACAGGATCAGCTTGAGATGGGATTACTTAGGAGAGAAATGAACACAGGGAGGGAATGGCTAGCAATATTCATTACAGAAAGATGAGTTAGATGAGTTGGAGAGGTGTTCCTTTGGGCAACTGGGAAAGCTTTCACTTTTATACTTGTAAGTTTCTGCTGGAAGTGAAAACTAAATAAATGTGGGATGGTGTCATGAATAAATGGACAAACAATGTTTGATATACTTGACTGTCAAGGAGCGAGACTGATAACTAGAGAGATATGATGGGTCACAATTTTAGTTTCGTCTTTCCTGTAGTCAAGATTTTGTTTTGTGGCATAGGAATGTAGAGCAGTTAGCAGCTTTTGAAACATTCTTTAACTTTTTTCACAGTTCCTGGGGGAGACCCCAGGGCCACACACATGCAAGACAAGTGCCCCTGTCCAAGAGTCCCTCACCTTTATTAAAAAAATTGGTAGAGGGGAGGTATTGGGCCACCCCTGGCTTTGTGCTCAGGAGTGACCCTTGACAGTGCTCCAAGGACCTTATGCAGTGCCTGGGATGTAACTGGGTCATCCACATGAAAGCACCTTACCTCTTGTACTATCTTTCTGCGCAGGTCCTCAGCTTTAAAAGAAGATTTCTTCCTGTGAGATAGGAAGAGGAAAGGGGGTGGAATGATTCCAGCCAATGATTTTTGTAAACCCAGTTGTTCATTGTATCTTTCAATGGTGTTATTTATATACTGAAATAATTCATACTATAAATCTTTCCTTTTCTCCTTTATGTTATCATCAAATCAGTATACTGATCTCTTTTTGTCCTGTTTTTGGCGAATAATTTTTATTGAGATACAGTTTACAATACTATTGAAGTCATTGTTTTCAATTTGAGGAGCTACCACACCATTTTTTGTTTAATGTTTATAGGCGAATGATGAATTTTTATCTCGAGATATGCAAAAGTGTTTGGCTTAAAATGGCAGTATTAGGTCTGGTAGTGGTGCTTCTCAAATTTTAAATATGGCTCTTGTGAAAATGCACATTCTGATTCAGTAATTCAGGGGTGGAACCTCATAGGCACTATTTCCTAACAAGCTCCTGGTACACAGAGATACTGCTGGGTCCTCGTTATACTTAGGATAGCAAGAACGGAGGCAAACGGAGCTAAATAATTTCTTGTATTTTCGAAGTGAGTGATTTTATGTGCATAGTGGGAATTGGAAGAAGCTCTCACTAAGGGACTCAGATATAGAGAGGAGAGCTGTGAGGGCTTTGCTGAGAGTCGCTGCACCTTAGTGGCCATGCCCAGGTGTATGATTAAGCCCGGGAGTGTGGACCGAGCAAACAGGTAGGATTAATCTGGGTCTGAGCATTATCAGCTGGGGTCAACTAGGAGTTGAGGGCAAAGGTGTTGATAGTATAGGCGTTAGTGGGCAAAGTACAGTTTGTGTGACTAGTTATGTTCTTAGGAATACATTTAAACGAATAGTTTTGATTTAGCTATTAGGCTTTGATCAGTAGGGGGCACTGGTGGATTAAAAACACGTTTGAAAAGCTGTCCTATATCTGCA